ATACCGCAAGAGCAGTATTTTACTTCGTTTATACTTGCATTTTTTCGCTGCACGAACAAGTAATGGATTATCTAATTGAGTACCATCTGATTAATTTTCTCGTTCAGTATAAGCTAAGGTGGCATTGAAAACTTGTCTCTCGAAATTAACAGATGCTGCTGATATTGAAAATAAACGACGAACGAATAATGATAATTTAAGTGATTTTGGTTTATGCTCATTTCGTCAACGTAATAAATTTTCATTGTCTCTGTTTTCATTTAATTTTTGAACCAGAAATAGGTGTTAAGTAACTTCATCAGCAGTTTTGTTGATTGGATCATTTCCATATGATTCATCATCGTTATGACATTCTTCAGCAAAACCAAATATATTATCACGTGTAAATTGTTCAAACAATTGGCGTTGTTTTTTCTCTGTGACTGTGTAATTAATTTAAGTGATGAAGGTGGTAACGAATGATTAATAGCTTTAATTTCATCATGAATAAATTTAATTATTAAACATTTTTCTTTTTTTTTGTACAACACTTTAAAGTATGATATTTTGAATGCTAGAATACTGATGCATGACGCTGAATATCAATATGGAACATTGACTGTTTGACTAATAAGACAATAAGAAAATTTCTACGATCTCGTTGTCTATATTTTCAAGTCCTTTCATGAATTTTAAAATTTCATTCCATCCTCATTTGAAGCATGGTTCTATGGGTAACACCATTAACATCTCTGATTTACATCTACCTAATTTGCACAAAGTGTCATGAATGCAGCAAAGGACTTAAAGTTTGCTATCGAAGAGGATTCACTTTTTAAATTATTTAAACATGTACAACATGTAATAAAAATAGAATCGCATCAGGGCGAACGTACCACCCATTGGCGCTGTACTAGTTAGTTCAATACAATGAAAAAATGAATAATTAATTTGCTGTGTACTGTTCATTGATAGACATGCGGGAACGCGAGTCCAACATGATAATTGTCATATCTCTCCTATCCAATTTAATTGGCAAATGCACATTCAATCAATTCCAAGGCTAATTGGATCAATTCAAAAATTTCTCTGAGTCGATTGCTTGTCTGGATTCCTAACAACAATCATGTTATATCGTATAATAGAAACCAATATTGATCGATTCAATTTGTATGTGGGTGTGGATCTCAATAAAGGGAAGATTAACATCCACATCCACCCATACCCACACCCACACCCTAGTTTTCGTGCGATTGAATAGACAAGTTTATTTGTTCAACGTCAGGAGGTGGAAAGATAATCATTCGAATTATATTTCGAACTATACATCTGAAGTTCCTCTGTCTAGATCGGATGTCAGAACCAAAATTTCATCGGAATGACAGATCGTTTTCATGCATTTTTTCGATGTTTTGTAGAAATGATTGATTTTTAAATGATTTCGTCGTATACAATATTGGAGGAAAAGGCATCCCCTTGTCTTCCCTTTCGAATGGTGAAAACCGCAGGGCTCTAGCTATCTTCGTTCAAAAGTTATAAGCACTTTGCCCGATGGCCTTTTTTTAAAATTCCGATAATAGTTACTCATTAAGATATCAGACGTTTACAATATTGCCAGCCTTTCATCTTTCTGTTTAATGCATAGAACAAAATAGAATTGCCAACTTTAGTAGTTAGATGAGATGTTTAAGAGTAAAATAATTTTTATCATATATCTTTATATTTTACTAAACGTTCCATTTTTTAATAGAGAGTATCTCTAGAGAGAACAATCAGTTTTCATAAATCTGGGTTACTTGAGGCTTAGTTTAGATGCGTTCTTAGTTACTCTAATTGTGCTGCCACCGTATAGCATGTGGGTGTTTTCTTCTCCGACACCAACATCCGAACTGCACACCCACACCCTGTACTTAGCAATGGAAACCTTTGTGTTTTTCGATAACTAATGCAAAATCATCTAATAGTTCTCGAAGTTCAATTTCATTTTTTGTAAAGTATTCATTTAATACCAATATCGCAGTTATGTTTGCACTACTGGTGGTTTACCGCTCGAGACTGTGAGTGTGGATGATCTGCTTTCATCGACACCCACACCCACATCCACATTCACACCCACACACCCACCCATACCCCACACCCATATCCCACACCCTCTCAGAAAAAAACTCAACATAAAGTTATATCTTGTTGCGGTATTTCTCATCTGGCAAGCAGTGGGTCCACAACAATGTGTAACTGAACCTAACAGAAAAAATAAAACTTAGGACCTGATCGAGTTCGGATCTGAAAGGACTCGCAGTTCCCTAATGGATAGACTTATTCTTTGTATGTTGACATAATGAAATATACTTTTTTTTTGAATAAATCTGTTATAAGATAATGATAACATTGTATTTTCAAATGCATACATTTAGTTATTTATAAAGCAAATAAGAAACTAACTGAGGTAGGAAATTTTAAGATTTTTCACAAAAATGTGAGCATCTTTAAATTGAAAAAAAATTATTGAAAGGATCGGCTTGAGATCACATGATTAGGGAGAGAGTCCAAAAAACTCGATCATCTGAGCTCTAAATAACTTCTAATCAAATGTTATCATATCTTTCAGTAGAACTCTTCTATTGATCACATATTATACATGTTATATTTTCAAAATAGATCATAATTATGGTAGTAGAAGGGTATGGATTAGAAATGAATGTACCAACAAATATAAAACACTACTCGAATTTTAATTATGCAGTAAATTTATCTGATACGGAAAAGAAAAATCACTGGCATTGTGTTTAAGTAAACTTCTATGTTCGTTGCTTGAGTTCAAAATTATTTAATAAAAATATTTGTGAAAACTTTGAACTTTATATGTTGTATTCAACAAGTAACAATAAAGTTCACTAACACTCACAAATATACATTAACTGATACAACATCCATACTAATTGAAAAAAAAATTATTCTATATCATTTTAACTATAGATAGTAGAAAAATAAATGTATTGTTTCGAATTGAATAATTGAATGGTAATCATATATCCTCAAAATAAAAATAAAAATTTGAAATTATTTTATTTGAAAAGAAAAAAAAAATAAACACGTGCTAGATAAACTATTGAAAAAAAAATGTTCAAATTAATTCGAATAATAAATTTCATCGAACTGTCATCATTCTTTGTCGTTCAATATTATCAGCAATAAGAATTTCTTTCTTTGTTTGTATTGTTCTTTCACCAACATAAGGTACAGATTCTGGATGATCAATATGATATTGTTTTTGTGCTTTTGTTTTTGTCCAACGATCTTGAAGACCAATTAATTTCCATTGTTTAATACGACCATCTGATGTTCGACCAAATCTTTCATCATTATCTTTCATTGATAAATAATTTGAGTCGAAACTTAATCTTGCATCTTGTATTGGTAATATTGTTTCATGAAAAGATACATCTTTATATGAATGTTGATAAGTTGAATGTGGTTCTAATTTTGGTTCTAGAAAACGAGAAACAACTTCTGGACCAGGAAGACGTAAAACATTCTTAGCTGAACGTGGAAGTTGATCAGAAATTTGTAGATATGGTGTAACTGGTGTTTGTTTTTTTTCAAAAAATTTATAGGCAGTCATATCTTCTTTACTTTTAAATGGTGAATCATAAACACGATTTACTGATCGACGAGAATAACCATCTGTATGTTCAGTTATATATTTTGTTGCAAATAATTCATCATATGGTGATGGATGAATAAGTGGACCAATAAGAATATCATTTGTTTTTTCTTTATTATTATTATCATTATTATTAAATGATATATTATGTATTGGTTTCATTGGATAACTATTCATACTTCGTGCTCGTTCAAGATTAGTATTATATTGTGTACTCATTAAACAAGTTGGATCAGAACGTGAATGATGTAATAAAGTATTTTCTTGAAGAAATTTTCGAGTATTATATGATTGACCATATGTTGATTCGCGTTGAATAAATGGTTTATTACCTTCTTGAATACGAGTATTAACAGTACTTGTATCTTGTGGAACACGAAATTTATTGAGAAGACCACTCTAAAAGATAAAAAAATAAAACAATTCTTTTTTGTTTCCATTAATTAAACAAAAAAAAAAGATCAGATTATCGAAAACAAACTCGCATAGCCTGATAATCATGAAAAGTTTTATATTGAAATAATTTTGGTTTTGATACATTTTGTGTTTGTTCACTAGAATCTAATAGATCACCAAGATAATTTTCATCTTTTAATAAATTATCATTTTCATTTTGATTATTTTCTGAATTTTCAATATCCGGTATTGCTTGTATTAATGCATTTGGATCATAAGTATTAGTATGATAAAGACCTGATCTTTCTTGAATATATGTACCAAGTTGATCATAAAATGTATTAACATAAGCATCACGATATTGTGGTAAAATTGGTCGAGAATGACGTGGATGTTGAAGAGTACGAAATTTAATATTAAGTAAATTAAGATTATCCTGTGGTCGAATAAGTTCTAATTGTTCAAGACGATTTTCAGCTTCAATTTGTTGATGACTTGCTTGATGATCACGAGCAATTTGTGGAACACTTGCAGATGGTCGAAGATGATGAAGAAAACGAATTTCAGGTTGTTGTTGTTGATTATTAGTATTAGAAGTTTCGGATCGAGCTGAAAGGAAAAAAAAGTATGAAATAATTTAACGTTTGAAGACTTTAATCATAATATTTAAAAAAGAAAACGTCTTAAAAGTGTGTTTGTGCTTTTGTCAATAAATGATTTGGTGACATTCTGTTTTTTTTCTTTTAACTTACGAATCCATGTTGCTGCTCGTTCTGTTGGAAACATATGAGCTGGTAAATTTACATAATCAGTTCCATTTCGCATATGATCATCAAGTTTTTCGTTTTCACTCATAACTCTAAATTAAAAAAAAATTCAATAACGGTTGATCGATAAGTTTTTTTCACAAATTGTTGACTCTCTTAAAAGTATTCTAGATGAATGAAAAACTATGGGTTAGGATTAGAATTTTGTGTTCTTTCCGAATATGAGCTCAGAAACTGTGTACCTGTTTGTATCCGAGAATGGTGAAGAAATCTTTGAACATTCTGCAAAATTGATGTGAGCAACAAACAAAGAAGCATTTGATATCCTTAGTTGAATTTGATAATTTTATAGCACGGACAATTCTTTACAAAGTGAGATATCGAACTAAAATGTAGCTTTTACACAAGCTTAAATTGGATTTTAATCAAAAAATCGATCTTTCAAAAATGTGATTAGTAGAAAAACAACAATTTAGATGCTTTTATCAGAATACAAAAAGCAACTCAAATATTACTCATTGAAGCTGATATATTAAGAAACGTTTTAACATTTAATTTTGAATAGCAATAGTGAATATACGAAAAAATTTTCCATCCAAACTATTTTTTAGGCCTTTCAAAGATTTCATCACTACTTTCAAGCGAAAATAGATGTACAATTTCTGAGTCCATATTCAGAAAGAACACAACTTATAGTTTTTCACTCATCTAGAATACTTTAAAGAGAGTCAAAAATGAATAAACATTTTGTAAAAAAACTTTTCGATCAGTTGTTAGTCTATAAAATATCGTTATATTTTTACTTTATTGTTTCTGTTGATGTTTTTCGTTTATCTAATGCACTTGGTTGTCGATGATTACCATGAATATGAATAGCTTGCATACCTTCAATTGGTCTTGCTGGATCAAGTGTTTTTTTAAAATATGGTGTCTATTTTAAATTAAACAAAAAAAAAAGAATTTGTTTGTTTGTTTGTTTGTTTGTTTTTATTTAAATGAAAAAAATAAATTTTACTAATTGTTCAGTTGGTTGAAGTGATACTGTTGTATCATATACGGCATGTGTACCAAGACCTTCACCGTTTGAAAAATCACTTTGATATGTTGTTTCAAATAATACTCTATCTTTATTTTTAACTATATTTGTTCCAGAATTTTCAATAGAACTATCATCATTTGGTACAAATATTTTTCGTGGCCAAGGATATATTGATGATAAACTAAGATCACTAAATGAACGAGGTAACTAAAAAGAAAAATAAAAATAAAAAGGATCAAATATTTGTTATTAATCTTTGTCATTTAATATTACATGCATATATTGTTTATCAGGCCATTTTAAATTTCGATGCCGTTCTCGTTGTAGTCCTTGATAATGCACTTCACGACGAAATGGATTACCTTTTGTAAAGCAAAAAAAAATAAAAAAATAAAAACATTGACATAGACTTCATGTATAACAAAATCAGCATATAGAATTTTAAAGTGTACATAGAAGAAAGAGAACATATTAAATTGTCTTACCACGAATTTTATGTGTGACAATATATGGATCCTTATCTATTGAAGGACGATCATCAATATTAATACTTGCATTAGGAAAAAGTGCTTTTTCACTAATATGTGATGAAAATGGATGATTTGATGGAAATTTTAATGGTATTTGATGAGGTGTTATATCAGTTGTATGAAGTGATGCAGGTATTCTGTAGTATTAAATAAAATTATAAATTAAAATATGGAGAAAAAAAAACTATATAAACATACAATTCATCATTGATTCGAACATTACTCAATGTAATATCTGTATTTCGATAATTTTGTGCAATTGGTTCACCTCTATAATTATTGATTTATAGAAATATTTTCTTTTTTGTCTTTTTTTTTTGTTAAATCTTACTTGTAAAGAAACGTTCCTGATGGATGAGCAGAACTTGGATCCTTACTCAATGGAATACGTTTTTTACCAGTACCCCAATCAACACCTGGTTTGATAAAATCATCTGTTAAAGATGGTTCCGAATTAAATAAAACCAAACTTGTCATCACAAACAAATACACATTCGAAATACAATGTTGCTTTTATGTTCACTTTTACTGTTGGAATAAAAAAAAAAAAAGAAAAAAACACAAAACTATCATGTTTCCATTACAACAGTTAATGGTGATGTTAAATAACAATTGGATTAGTTAATAGTGAGAAGAATAACGTGTACACAAATAACAACAACATCGTAAAAAGAATTCCAATGAAATAGATTGATTTTTTATTTTACAGAACATTGCAAGACGAGCATAATTCACATTTTTAATAAGGAAGCATATAAAAAAAAACATATGTAAGTCGAAATTACGTCTAATGGTGAATGTATAACCATAATTGTCATAAATAGCCAATTAATTTTCATCAGTACAAACTATTTAAGTTTGAGTATACAAATTTGTACCTCTCAAGAACTATAAGATGTATCCATATTCACATTGGTTACAATAACAACCCTTCTCTCTCTCTCCCTCCTCTATTGAAACAAATGAAATTTTTATTGAAAATGCAATAAGATCAAATATTCATATAAAACACAACTATTCAGTCTCAACAATGAATATTTGCATGTCTTCAATGATTTGTAACTTTTAATTTCTCTGATCTATTTTTTATAAGTTTTACTTTCATTGAAGAATTCACAACCGGTAAATGAACAATTTTTATTAAGTTTTTCTTTTTTGTTAAAGATAAAAATGATACAAAGCAAAAGCACGCACGCACACACACACACACACAAACAAAAAAAAATGAAATTAAATCTTAATACATAGATGCAGGATTTTTTTTTCATTTGATACTGAATACGATATAAAAAAAAAAATTATACAAACTAACCCGCCAACATATATCACAGATAAAAGTACAAAGAAAAAAAAAACATTCTCATTTTTTTTATCATGAAAATGATGGTGTTCTCGCTATTTCTTTCATATAAACAGGATCATCTAATATTGATATATAAGTTTTTTCTACATCAGCATCTTCTTCTTTCATTTGTTCATGTAATGCTATTAAACGATACCATGTTATTACATCAGGATCACCAACAGTCATTGAAAGTGAACATGCATCAATACCATTATGATCTTTATATAATGGATCAGCACCACGTTTAAGTAAAAGAATAATTGGTCTAGAATAATTAAATAAATAAATTGAAAATTAATAAGAAAAATAAAATATACCCGCGTCCTTTATTTGCTAATTGTGTTGCATAATGAAGTGGTGTTTTACCATCTTCATCAGCTAAATTTACTTTTGCATTATTTATTAAAAGAAATTCTGCAGCTGCAATTGATCTCTATAATATACAAAGAAATTTATTAAAATAATAATTAATATAAAAAACAAAAAACATACACTTAATATTGTTTGAATTAATGGTGTTCGTCCATGATCATTTTCATTATGAAAATTTTTATCAGCACCAAGAGCTAATGCATGAAGCATTGTTGAAACATTACGATGACGAGCTCCTTCATATAAATATATATTCATATTCCATATTGCTGGTGGATTATCTTTAAATATCAAAACATTATAAAATTTTCAAAAAAAAAATATCCACTTTTTTTTCAAACCTGTTATTGCATCATTATCAGATGGTGCTGTTAATCGTCTAAAATATAAGATAGAAACGAAATTTTGCTTAACAATAACAGCTAGAATAAATCAAGAAGTTTTCGGAAAACTAAGATCTCCTCAAACTCGTTTTTCTAGATTCTATCAAATACGATTAGCAAACAATTACATCTGATAGAAAAAACAATATTTCTGAACAAAACAAGATGTCTTCGAGCTTTCGATGATAATCATTTTGCTTTCACTTAACATCAAAAAAAATAATAATAATAAACCTAGTTAATAATTGTCGATTGTTAACTTTTAATGTATGTGATGTATCATCATCATTGTCATTTCCACTATTAGCTGTTGATATTGAACTTTTCATTACAGACCATCGTTTAATAGTACGTGTTGATGAACGCATTTGATTCAATGCTGGTAATGAACGTAAAAATGTTTTTTGAACATATTTTGCTTCTATATAAGATCGACGTGTTAAACTAAAAGAAATAATATTTAACAGACTTAGGTCACTTTTTTTTAATTCGATTTAATCAAGTTAAGTATTAAGTAGTTTTAACTTATAGCCAATCAAATTTTAGCAAACATTTAAGGACAACACATATTGTTGTTTCTTAATTGGCTCAGACGACATCACGCTGAATCTGCACAGGAATAGGAAAAAAAAAAGCTTAAACTTAATATCAAATGTTAAGTAATAAAACTTAACTTAATTTTTGCGCTAAGTTAAATGATTCACTCCTAGATCTCCAGGTGACGAGGGAAAGTTCCCAAGTGTGACGAGCCGTTTTGAATCAGATATATATAGTAGTTTGTAAAGCTTGATAAGACTAAAAGAAGCCTATAAAGGTTCGTTCCCGTACGTTGTCCTTCTCGGGTTATGAATATTTTATCGGATTTTCGGCTTCTGGCAAGATATACATGAACCAATCGAATTACAAAATTTTTACCTGACATTTTGTCCATAATGGCCACTAGAATGTCGTAAAAATTTTAGCAAAAAAAGAATGTTTTCTTTTTAAGATATCTAATATCTCAAGAAGAAAAAAATTCCTTTTTTTTTGCTGAAATTTTAAAGACATTCTAATGGCCACCACCCAAGTCGGAAAATCTGACGTAAGATCTTGCAATCTGGACGAAACCTTATAAGAATTTGACAAAAAATTGTCGTCTAAGAAATCTTGCATCAGATCATACTATTAGATTCGCGAAAGATCTTACAAGGTAGTAGGGTCTTTCAAGAATCTTATAATACGACGAATCAACAGAATTCTTAGACGACGATTTTCTGTACAATTTCCATCTGATCTTCCAAGATCAGAAGTACGATCTTGTAAGATCTTACCGTCTGATTGTTTGATCTGGAATGTCTTAACCGCAAATGATGTCGAACTTGTCGAGCTATGAAATAATGACGAATAAATACTTCATTGTGATGATCATATATTCGTTGAAACGAGAGAATTAAAATTCACGAGTCATCAGACTTGAAGATCAATGTGAAACACGAACACGACAGATTTCATTCAACTCAGGATTCTTAACGTAGGACGAAGATCTAAATTCATTCTGATAACTTTACATTAATGGTTCATAGGTTTCAATTATTTACAAATATATTCATATAAGATTTGTCGAACTTGACAATATTACTGATTAATATTTTATTATTCTTACGGATCTGTTTCAGCATTGGGTTTTTTCATATCATTTGATATTTGTGCTTCATATATACTATTAACAACAGTATTACCCAATTCTGACATAACAATTAATGTTTCTAAATCCCATGTATCCATATGAAGTGAACGAACTTTTGAAAGATTAACACCAAGACCACTGATTATTGAAAACAAAAAAAAACAAAAACAACAAAACATAATAAGAAAATATAAATATTTAACTAACCGATGAGCACCACCACAATTTAAACAAAGTAAAATTCCTAAATTAATCGATGCCCATTCAGGTGTATCTGCATCACAATCACAACATTTTTCATTGCCTGCAAGTGAACGTACATATTCAATTTTATCTCTAATCCTACATATAACAAAAAAAATAAAATAAAATATTAAATTTTTTTTGATAATAATTCATTTTTACATTTGTTGTTTGATTTCAACTTTAGCAGTTAAAAGTGTATTTGAACGATCATCAGAAAACATTCTTGGTAATGACTAAAACAAAAAACAACAAAAAAATAAAATGCAAAAAAATTTTTTTTTTTGTATGATATACAAACTGCAAATGAATTTGTATTTCCATTATCTGATGATTTAAATAAATTTGTTATTGCTAATTGAAGTGAATTAATCCATTGATCACATTCAATTTGTGAATCAGCTTGAAGAAGATGTGAACTATATAAAAGATTTTAAATAAATTCAAAAACAAAAAATCATAGAGAGAATTAATTTCTTACCTATTTGGGGAAATAATTTCAAAAACAAATCGACGATCATTATCATTCGATGTACGAATTGTACATAAACGTAAATCAGATATCATTACTGAATATGATGATTGTTGTTGAGAATTATCATTTATTGAATTTCCATGATTACGTTTCATATAGAGTAATTGACCATTACGAATTAAAAACCATCGTCTAAATTATTAAGAAAACTTAAAATCAATAGGGATTCATGAGAGATTAGATGGAAGAAATCTATGAAGTGTACTTGTCAGATCATGTGGGATATGTTCTTCAAGTCAGAAGTCTATAGGAAAAATCACAGGACTTCAAAAATTAAAATTTTTCAAACATTTTCTTAGTGAATCCGGACGTAGGAAATGTGGACTAGTTGACCATGTAGAAAACTCAAAAGATCAATATTTTTGACGAGGGAAGCAGGACGGCTCGATAGATTCAGCGATTATGTGGTGGAAAAAGGAAATTAAACAACATCATGAACCTTGAGTTTTTTTCTTTGACCACACTATTCAGTGGGCAGAAACAACATATATTCCGTGCTTTAGATATAATGAGAAAAGAAACAGTTGTGAACCGATAAAAATTAATACCAAAGAATGTATGTGTTGTCAAATGAGTCTTTTTTGCTCTGAACCATTTTATGATCTCAGAAGAAATTTAATTCATAATCAATACTATTTCAACTTGTTATGAGTTGAGATTTATAATGCATATATTAACTTTATTCTTGATTGTCCTCCATCTACCCAATAGTGACTACATGGTCAATAGCGTGTCTGAGCATGTATAATTCGTTAAGTTATCATGAAACTTTTGAAACATATTTTATTCATTAGTAGACTTCGTCATTAATTAATATTGCATAGAAATTTCAATTTTTTTCAAAACTATCGATTTTGAAGATCCGATATTTCAAAGATGGAGCAATGAAAAAAACTATTCTTTTTACCAATTGATAGTCCGTGATGTTTATTACAAAAAAGAAAGGTTCTTATCATTTTTGAATCTGATGCTTCCTTTATTTATTGCAATATTTCTAAAAATGGCAATTCCAGTTGTCAATTCGGGGTAAAAGACTAATACATTCTCTTCAATATTGTAAATATTTTCTATAAAAAACAAAAAAAAAAAATGTAACTAACCTATTCCATGTTTTGAATTTATTATGAGAACGTTTAAATAAGTAACCTGAATAACAAAAAATATAATTTGTTTATAATAAATTAAATATTGATTAATTTACCTTCTTTTGTTGCTTCAACTCCATTTGTTAATGTACTTGTTATATTCGATAAATTTTGTTGTGATTGATTTCTTGGTAAATGTTCTTTTGACTAATTGATACAAAAAATAACCAAGTAATGTTCATTTATGAATTTTCTCTTACCATAGATGATGTCTCTGTTGATATTCCATCGTTTCGATTATCATCAAATTTCCACTAAAAAAAAAAATCAAACATTTTTGTTTTTTTTCGAATACAAGAAAAAAAAATAATGAGAGAAAGAGCCGAGCAGTAAGTTAAAAGTGTTTTTCAATTAGAAAAAAAGAAAAAGAATACCCAAATCCACCAATAATTAAATAACCTGTTGAGAATAATGAGATGATGATAATTTCAATTTAATTGGAAAACATGTCATATTGTCTCGTGGTGGTGAGGACTATAAGGTTTATAAAAATGATCATAGTACTATCTTTTCTTTTTTTCTATACTAATTAATAACATATGAAAAAGGAAATCAAATAAAGTTTATAAACTTACTCTTCTTTGATTAGTATCATGTACTTTTTCTAACATTTTTTGTTTTTGAATATTCTCTTGTCTCATTTTAGTTAACTGAAAAAAAACAAAAAAAAAAAAATATCATTTAAAATATAAGAATAAATAAAATAATCTTTTTTAATTTTACTTCTGTTGTAATTGAATTAAAATCTTTTTCAGTATCTATAGATAATAATTCATAACCTTGATGAAAAAATGCTTTATGAAAATTAATATATGATAAAAATAATTCAATTAATTCAACTTTATGTTGATTATATAAAACATTTATTTGATATGTATAATCAATTGATGTATGACCAAAACAACTACGTGTTGCTGTTAAAATTTTACTAGCATCTTCACATAAATGAGCTAGAAATTAAATAGATAGAATTAATAAATTTTTTCTTAACGAATGAACTATAAATAATGACACAATTTATATTTCATGTTTTTCTTGTAGAGATCTGGTCAAACTATAAGAGTAGATATATCTTGGTTCTCTTTACTGTGATTCACTGGCGGATCGCATCTAGAAATATTTAAGACTAAGAAATTTTCGGTATCGATCCGATTCAAGTAACTTCTTTTTCAATGGTTCTGGTGATCAAGAACGAAATTTAAGTTGATCCCATGAATTGCATTACAAAAAAAAATGGAATAATAACAGTAAAACGACCATAAAATATAAAAAATGTATCCGATATGTCAAACGCATCAGTCATTATTTTCACTATTCAATCTCTATAGTACTGTACAAATATTCGTTGTTATACTTGTGCTATACACTTATTAATATCTTTCATATTCGTACCTAGAAACAGGTGCAGGTATCTGACTTGCAAAATCGAGATTTCTTTGATTGAGAGGTTGACTTTGATATATTAAGTTATTCTCTTACCTTAAAAAAGCAATAGATTTTATCTATGACTACATAGTTTATCCTTCTAGAATATCTAAACTACTTAAATAGTTATAAAATTTTAACTACTAATTTCATTTTTGATCTTGATTGATCTATTATATAATCAAATTATATTCCTCATCATTCAAGTCTTTGTTTTAACTTTAAAATTCTAACTTTTCTAATCTATGTTAATATATCTTCTCTTTATTATCTCATATTCAAAAACACAATCTTATTCAAGGTGTTCGCAATTCAAATTTCGATCAGAAAAAGTCAATGGTAATATTCTGCTAGAATATTTAAATCAAAACTTCAGTAAAAATGCATTAGAGCCAAACCTATCAACTTTCATACCACTGACAAAATAGTTACAAAATATGGTCGTATTTTACGATGATGACTATCAAACGTTGATTTTCATACAAAATAAATACGATTTTCGGTATCAATACAAAAAAAAAGAAACACGTGCATCGAACTTTTTCGTCAAAATTCGATCCGTAGATGATCATAAGAGTAAAATTAATTAGCCTTTTGAAGTTAAATTTACTCATTTATTCTCTCCATATTATTTCTGAACAAAAAAAAATTGATCTTGTAGAGCATGTTGAATTCTATCGAACCATGTAAAAAAATGACCATCAGGATTTTTTAAATTACTAACATGTTAAATCCGATCAAAGAAATTTACAAATACTCTGCAAATTATGTTTTCAAAATCATACACGACAAGTAAAATAAATTAAACCTTCACTTTTTTTTTTCAATCACTAGAATTCAATCTTCTTGAAAAAATATTCCTATATTCAATTCTTACATAGAATTTCATATTTACTATACTTAAACATATTGAAAATTTTACTAATATATACTCCCGAGAAAAAAATCACATATTCTGAAAGCACTGCCATCATCAGGTTTTCATGGACTTTATTTAGTCACTGTCATTAATATTACAGTAGTTTTTAAAAGTTTTCATCACTATAAAATTACCTTTTTTAAAAAAAAAAGTAAATATATACTCTGATAGAATTTGTCATTCTCCATCACTCTATATATTTACTTAGTATTTGTCATCTATTTGTTGCAACAAATAAATGCCAAATAGACAAGATGATTGAAAATTTCATACTCTATCAAAATTTATAATTGCATTTTAAAAAATAATTTCAAAATAGAAATGTAAATTTTTGGTACTTGTCAATAGAGGACATGTTAACGATATTCAAATTACTTTTCAATCAATAAATGCAATACAATAGATAAGCATAAAATTTTAAAAAACTAATTTTACTGACAATGACAAAAACGAAGTCTATAGGAATGTAGTGATGAAGGTGCGCTGTCATAACATTCAATTTATTTTAATAACATGGAAGAAAATTCCGCATGCTTTCAGAATATGTAATTGTCTTTATAATGACGATATATTTAAAATTCGGACTACAACTATAATCCCTTTCGTATTATGTATTTCTAATAGATCTATATTTAATCTTCATTCCACTTACGTTTAGTTTTTGATGCATCGGCATTCTTTTGTAAAGCTAAAATATCGAAAAAAAAAACAAATGTTTTTTTTCTTTTTTTATCAATCTATAAATATTACCAATATCATAGTCTGAACTTAAACGTTCAAATAATTTGCCTTGATCTTTAACTTTTCTTATATCATCTTTTAACATACGTGTTAATGTTCGTAAAAGACTATGTGATGTTTGTTCAAGTAAATTCTAATTAAATAAATTATAAAAAAATCAAAAACAAGAAGTTTTTTTTTTTTACAGAAAAAAGTGTTTGTATTTCACGTAAATAATTTCCAAATTTTCCTAAACTTTTATAAGCTATTTCATCTGTAGAAAATAATTCACGTACATCAAAAATACATTTTAGAAATTTTCTAAATAGAAAAAAAAATAATAATTATTCATATAAAAATAATATTCCTTTTTTTTTTTTGCTTACTGAAATTCTTGTACAAATATTTTTCCATTATTAATTACAGAATTGCACATTTTAAACATCTGTTCTAAACGATCTTCGAGTAGATCAATATGATTTGCTGCTTGTCGAAGTTGATTTCTATTTTATGAATAAGATTATATTATTACTCTGAACAACAACAACAAAAAAAAAAAACAATATTATAATAACATACCGATAAGCAGGAGAATCTTTAAGACATTCTTCGAAATCAATTGTATTCATTATAATCATAGGACTAAAAATAAAATTATTATAATAATACAATGAATAAAGATGATTTCTCTTTTTCTTTCTCTTATGTAATCTAATGGGCATCGATTCGAGTATAATTGTCACATTAGCTGATGTATGCCGGCAGCTAGTCTCTCGTCTATTTTCTTTTTTTTTTATGTTTGCTCATCACATGAATGTATATGTTCAGTAAGAGAGAAAAATGAGTAATTATATAGAAATAATAGAAGAATAGTACATGTTTGTAGAATAAGTGCTTGACCTCTTGTCGGCATCAATTTCACGGAAGCTACTTACTTGATCGATCGCACTATTATTGGAATCAAATGGTAACTCGTTGTCGTATTGACATAGTAGAAAAACAAACGAAATTAAAAAGAAAAAGAAAAAAATGATCTAGAGAAACAGATGGTAATGTCCATAGGATATTTTCTTTATAAAAATTAGCATGTCAACGATATCATGTTATAGCTACATACACATATCAGAATTCAATTAATTTTTCATCCTCTCATCAGACACTTATTATACATTCTTCTAGACATTTTGATGATAAGAAAACATTATACATTTATGTTATTCTATTCTAGCAAAAAAAAAACTATGATAAAAAGTCAACTTTGTTTTTTTTTTGTTTTTGTATAAATAATATTTAAGAATCAATTCTTGTTGAAAATAAAATGTACAATTTTTTGTCATTTCAACTTCTTTTTATACATTAAAAAAAAATAATCTAAAAATAAAAAAAAAAGATAATCAATCTTTTTTTTTTTTTTTGTTTGTTTGTTTCAAAATCTCAAATACATAAAATGTTAGGAGGAGGAGGAGGAGGAGATGAATTAATTATAAATCAAAGAACAATATGGTTATTTGATATAGGAGAAGCCAATAAAAAAGAATAATATTCAATTGTACATGAGTCGATTGAGTGGTGTAATCAAATACAAAATCTATGACAGAATGTTTATAAAACATAATTCAAAATATAAATAGGTGAACACGAAAAAAGGTAATAATGAATAGATGTAACTATATTAAATCGAATACATATGCAGATTTTCATATAATAATGATTAAATTCAATATGAAAAAAAAAAAAGAAAATCTATTTAGTCGGCCTACTTTTTTTGATGTATTGAATCTAATTCATCAATATCAATATGTCATTAACTGTTGAAATGATGTATTTGTTTAATTATCTCGATATCATATATATATAAAATCTTTTTATCATGAGAAAGACAATACTTTTATTTCTTTTTTGGACTTGTAAAGAAAAAGAAAAATGAAAGTAAAATATTTACTGATTCATCATTTGCATTTATACACGAGAATGCTCACGTATGTGTCTACATATGCAATTTCATCATTATAGCAGTTGGTCGAATTCAAACAAACGACCAGCTGATCTTCTTCTGTCTCTAGATGTCGTCATGTTTCATGGTACACATGGAAACGTTTTATAATATTATTACTCATTGTAAGATGAGTGTGCTTGATTTGTTTTATTTAAATTTATAATTGGATAAGTGTATAATTTAAAATAGAAGTTTTGTAATCCCTTGTGATAACTATCGAGAAACTATTAACAATGATGACATCATCTTTTCGGATCTTAGGTGCATTCAACATTCGATATCTTCCTGTTAGAATTCTGTACCAAGGAATTCAATAGTATTCGGTTGGAAATTATCGGATTACTTGAGGTATTATTCTTTGGAATTTAATCCTGAGATTTTTCGAGTAAGGCAGAGGATTCCATTTAGGCAAATCTCGAATGCGTTACATATCTTGTAATATGATTTTTTATTTGTTTCGAACACTCTTTTCAATAACGGAAAAGTATTCATTTTATGAAAAAAATAAAAATATTTTTTAAAATTTTGTTGTACATACTGTTCAAAATGTTATTTATGCTTCTGTTAGGTTATGCTAGCAGACAACTTTACAAATCCATATAGTTTTTGTTGTGAAGAGTTCAATTCAAGCTCCTGACTACGTTAGAATCGGATCAAGTCTCATACAATTCAAAAAAACTCTCATGCAGTATTCTTTAGTGTCTAACTAGAGATAAAACCTCTATTTGTAGGTATTTTCTCTAATTTCGCCAAGATTTTGAGAACGAATTCTCGTAGAGTAAACATTATTTCATGTGATCAGCTCACTTATAACATTGTATAAAGATTATTCGTCGAGAAAAGTTGAATCATTATCCCTAATCGATGTCTTTGGTTTATCTGAGAAATTAAAATGATGAAGACTTGAAATAATGTGGTTTTCCTAGAGATTACATTCCTCTATTTCATGTTTAATGAGAACGAGATCAAGTTTTATCATATTCCATTGAAAAATACATGAAAGCTATGCAAAAATTGACATGATTACTATCTTTCGCATAATCATTGCCTAGTACTTGAAAAGAAAATGAATCTGCATTTAGAATCTGTTGATCCCATAAAAAATACATGATTGTGATCTTTACCTATGTAAAAAATAAATCTCTAATCAAGCTATAAGTAACGATTAAAAATACTTCCATACCGATCATATCCACCAGCTAAATCTTTAAAACCTATCCATTCAGTGTTTCGTATATGATATCCATTAAAATATACTTTAAAGTTTTGAACACGATATTCCATTGGCATCATACCGTACATTTTTGTCTATTTGTTTGTATCGCTAAGAATAACACAGGATGAAAATAGATAGATAAAAAAGAATTGAATAGTTGTTGTTTTCGATTTTCAATAAAATCCGAGACGCACCTTGAACGAAATTTCGTTGAATAAGTTAGCATACAGCAATGTATTTTCTCATGAAATTTGTTCGTAAAATAAATATTTATCAAAATTTTTATTGAATATGATGTTTTACGAGTCATTGTGAGGTCAAAACAATTTTTTTAAAGACATAATAATTTATGAATCATTATTTTTTATCTGATTTAGTAATCATTAGAGGTAAATCAACTATGTGATTACAGAGTCAAATTTGCTCGGATTTGTCTTGTTAAGAAAAATAACTACATCTTAGTAAGAAGCGAAATAGTTGAAATGGCGTTTTTACGATCACATTCACCTGTGTTCTGTTCGAAAAATAGATGTTTGTCTAAATCAATATCTTCGACATAAGAAGTAGTGATAGATGTTTATAATCATGATTTTTTTCTTAGGACTATGACTCGATTTATTATTTGCATTGTCAGAATTTTGTGATTTTGATTATATCAGAGTACACGTGAAAGAAAATAAAATCGAGTTAAGAAGTCCATGAACTTTCAACATGTTAAAACGTCTTTTTTTTTTGTCGAGTTTTTAACAATTGAACTTTCCTCATTTTTCATATATTCGTATTCAATTCTCTTTTCTTCTTCATACTTTGCTTTTCATTTCAATTGTAAATTGCTGCTTTGAGATATTTTTCTCATGTGACTCAATGGATGTGGATGTGATTAACTGAATAGATGAAGAAAAGAATCACGGGGGTACTCACATCACACCCACACCTCTATTTTTGAAGAAAATACTGAGTGTAAGTTTTAAGTTGAAGTTTTCCGGCTCCGTTTCCTCCGCTCTCTTTCCCTCCTCATTACAGATTTTAGCAACTCCTCCGCCTTCCAAAAGAAAAGGAAAAAGTCCTGTTTGAAATGCAGAAATAAAACAATTATCATCTACAAGAGTTTTCACTTTACGTATTTTGTATGAGATTAATGAGACTAAAGATTTTATGTGAGTTCCATATTTCAGTCCTAAAGGGGCTGCGCTAATAACCTTTTTTTTTCTTTTTCTTACAGGCGCCATAGTTTTTGTTTGCATTATTGCTATTCGCTCGTTATTTTTCATTTTTCGTATTTTGTTTTTCTTAATTTAACATTGAATTAAATGGCAAATAAGGTTGTTGTAAATATCTATTATATCTACAGTAGCAGGTCTTAATGCTCTACTACATATTTCGATCAACCCGCAAAAACACTAATATTGATTATTTTTTAAAGCTACAACTTAATCAATTCAAGCTTTTTATCTTGATCAAATGATCGCTGTGGCAAGGAGAAGTATTCTGATAACTAGGATCTGTAATGGAGGGAGTACGTGGGCTGTTAAGTGTCGGTAATGAGGAAGGTGGGAGCTGTGGAACTTCGATTTAAAACTTATACTCATTATTTTCTTCGAAAATATATATGATTCAACTGCCTGTTGATAATCAACCTGCTTTCGATAAACAATAACAATTCAATTATAAGTATTAGTAATGTCTGAATCATTGGACGATAATATTTACATCTTCATCTTAAGTGATTTATGCAATCGGTCGAGACTCAATTTATATTCGTTTCTACCTCGAACTAACAGATTGAGATTGTAATAACAGACAGTAATATTTTGAAAGTCATGCATAGAAAATTGTTTTAGTGCATGAAAATGACCTTCAGTCATATATTTGATATTAATTTGTTTTGTTCAGATTTTAGAATTTTGAATAAACTGATAATCGCAAAATTTAATAGATTCTTAATTGTTTAGTTTAAGGTCAAGTGTATTAGCATCTGCGGCGTGTTAGTTATTTATTCAAATGATCATTAAGTTAAATAAGCGATATTCATCGGATACCGATTAACTTGACTCTAGATTGAATTAGTACGAATATTTTTAGTATTGGAATTACGAAAAAATAAAACAACCACCCAGCATCATATAAATAATGGTTTATAAAATGTATTTCAGTTAGACATACGAACAGACAAAATAAATAATGTAATGACCGTTCTATAAACACTCATCTCTTCATTCTAGGAAATATTTTAATATTTATTTTAAAATATAGATTTCTCGGTTCAAAACATAGTATGTTAACATGTTTGTCACGATCTGTGAACGTTGGTTAGATACAACATTCATTAAAAATCGTATTTCACAAAATACTGAATTAAGCTGAAAATATTTCTCAAATGATATCAAAACTCCTATAGCTTGCATCGAGTTTTTTTGTTATATAAAATAAGTACTATAGATTGTGAATATTCATTTATTATATTAGAATGACACAGTTCGATATCTTACATTGTGTTGATCAACATCATCATCATCATATCTTTATATGACATGCAAATTGTCAGTTGAGATTTTAAAAAAATAACGAGTGAGTTCAGTCTTTTATGCACTACGTGAAGTGCACTTCTGAAATAAGGAAAACTCAATTATAATTAAGCATAATGAAAAGAAAAAAATGAGCCTAGAACTAATATTGAAATGAAAGATATCGTTTTCTCATGATGACTAAGAAAAAAAATAGGATTCCAACAACAATTTCGTTCAATTGTATTGTTCATTTTCATCTCGTTCGTAACATCAAACATCTTCTATAATTTTGAATAAGATTATTTCATTTGGACACATTCAAACAGTAAAAAAAATAAAAAGAAACGCAGATTGCTTTCATTTTTGACTTAATTACATTTTATTTCCGTTACTTTAATTAAAACTTATTGTGCGTGTATGTTTATTTTAAGACAAGTGACTACTTTACTGTTCATACACTACCTTCATATTCACGTAATGATGTGCATAATTGCATCACATGTCCGTGTGTGCTGAAGAAGCACTGACAAGTGAAATGCATCATTTCTTTATATTCTCATCCGAATTAACATTTAAGAGATATCTTATTTTAATTAAAAAATAATTGCATTCCACAATGATAGTTAAAGCAAAACAAAGAATAATATTACTATACAATCTTATTCGCTATGCCTCAGTTTATATTATAATCAAAGCAACAGAAGTACAGCTCATATTCATTTTTAATTTCTGATTTCTAATTAGTATTATTGGTTTGTTCGGATTGTCGTCGATAGATATGGTTTCATTAGAACAAATAACATATAATTTTACTATCTACGGCTTTTTCACTGTATTGATCATTGGAACAATTGGTAGTTTATTGAATATAATCACATTTATATCCAAAACATTTCGAACAAATCCCTGTACATTTTACTTGATTTGTTCTTCTTTCATTGAACTTATTTTCATTAATTTTGGTATTATTGCTCGTTTTACAACAGAATATTTTGGAAATAATTTAATAGCTACCAATCGTAGTATTTGTAAAGTACGTTCTTACGTGACAGTATACTTACCGATGATGGCTTCAGCGTGTATTGCTTTGGCAGCATTTGATCGATGTATTTCGACATCGGCGAATGTACAATGGCGAGAAATGAGCTCTCTTTCATTTTCTCGATATCTTTTCATCGGATTCATGCTCTTTGAACTAGTTTCAAACAGTTTCTTGCTCATCGTATTTGATCTTCGCAATAATACATGTGTACCACATTCGGGTTTTCAATCAATAATTACCACCGTTTATATCGCTGTTTTTACTTTAATTATTCCTCATGGAAGCATGTTGATTTTTGGGATTATGACATGGATTCACATCAAACAAGCGCGAAATCGCATCGTCTCAACTCAAATTGCAAGACTTCCGACACGTATTATTCAACGTACGAATCAACATTTGATCATTCTAACATTCCTACATGCTTTCTTGTCGATCGTGTTTGTATCAATACGGTACATCGCTTTTTCATACAGTGCAATAACAAGTTCGGTAAAGAAAAGTGCCAAACAACAAGCAATAGAATATTTTATTCAACAAGTGAGCGTTTTAATTTACTACATCAATCATAGTATGGCATTTTACATCTATTATGGTTCGAGCAGTTTGTTTCGAAAAAATCTTCGAGGATCACTTAAACGGTTGATTAATAAATTTTTGTTATTGTGGAGATTTCGTTGAATTCATTCGATTTTATCTATGTAAAAATCAAACATATACAATTAGATGTGTCTGAATGAATTTGTTTTTCTTTCATCAGATCGTGTTCAAATATATATTAATAATAAAGAAAAATTAATTTAACCTTATTGAAAAATCTTGTTGAACATGCATGATCATATTTCGATGCGTTTCAACTTCAAACGAGTTCTGACGTACTCAAAATGAAATGAGTTGTTTTTTTTGCAGGATACATTAACATTGATCTCAAAATCTTAGACGAGTTTCAACACTGATCATAATTATTTACCAGCAAAATATTCGCCATGTTGAAAAAGAAAGCTAATACACAGATGTACAATACTAATACGCGATGTATGGCAATAATATTTTCTTTTATGTTTAAATATATTTTGCATTTGAATAAAACTTACTAAATTGCAAGTATAATGATGATTTATTTATACAAGCCACGCGCGATTCAAAAGATGGATTCGTCTATGATGTATCATTTTGTTTTAGGTAGAGAATATAAACATGTACATTGCAAGAAAACAGAACCGCACAGGCCATGACAGACATGTCGATATGACGAAGGTTATACAAGAGTTTTGACTCCTCTGAAAATGCTGTTAGATTCTTTGATTTTTTTGGTTCTTGGACGTCACAGTTTTGAGCTTTAAAATTTCCACTTTGAAGTTCATCAAAATTCAGAAGTCAACAAATCTGATTTTTCACCTACAAGAACGCAAGCTCTTACTGGGGAACATTTTCAGCTGTCTCCTTTTGATTTCGGTGATTTTGTCTTTGTCTATAGACGCTACATAGTGTTTTAATAAAAACCCTAAAAACATTTAGGTTCCTATTGATATTTAACTAAGCTACCAAATTTTGATCTGAATCTTTGCGAATACAGAGAACTCAGCTAGACTAAATTCGATAAAAAAATTCTGAAGTTTTCAACAAAGTCTCTTCGAGATATGAAGATTTTAAAAAAATGCATGTTGTAAACATTATCCAAGGAAAAAGGTCTATATCGTGAAAGTCTCGTATCTCGAAGAGACTTTATTGAAGCATTTTGAATTTTTCTCTAGAGGCGTACAGTGGACAGAAAAACGGAGCCAGAAGCAATTCTTTTAATGTTTGAAGCTATTAACTAAATATTTTGTGTACGTATAACTGGCACTTCATACTGATTATTTGTGGTTACCCAGTTTCTGTTACTCGAATAATTCCTGGACAAGGAAGTTTTCGGTCTTCAAAAATTGCGAATTAGCACAATAAAAAATAGTTGTTCCATTATAATGTTTTTTAACAAAAATGAGGCAACCTATTTTTTTCATATACTTGATACAGTTATTAACTATGTATTATATAAATCTGATATGGACTAATTATTCTTCAAGGGCTTGAAGCAGATTATCATCGATAGATTGTCTTCAACTTTTGAATCCTTGTGAACAATCATGTATTCAACTCATAATATATTTCCACGAGGTAGTTTGCTACCGGACTACGATCGCCTGTCTATCTAAACCTTGTACGACATATCAAACGATAGTGATGATGAAAGTAAGCCAATGTGCAATTGACCTTCGGATCAATACTGCCCAAAAAGGAGTTTTTGTGATATTTCAGAAGAATATGACGGTAAAGATTGTGCGGCAGAAATAACTCAAAATGAGCTAGTATATGTTTTTGAACACGCATGTATTTGATTTAGGTAACTGAATTCGTGTATTTTTCTTGTTCTACTTATGTTACTTGAACAGTCGAGGACGAACACACATCACAGTGTACACTTTCGTCGTTAAAAATATTTACACATTTGACGATGGAACTCTATCGACTATTAACTAAAATTATTGAGTTATATATCTTAGGAATATTTAGTGTAAGAAAACAGCGATATAAGCTGCTGTTTATGTTGAAGATATACGCCAAAAATCTAATTAGATGTCGTCATTCATTTATTCTCACGTGAGTCTTATTTTCGCTCTTTCTCAGCATCCTCTTTTTTTCTTCATTTCTTCCAACAGCAATCTGTGCTTTATCACTGTTGTTGTATTGACAATGTCTTCTTTCGTTTCTGATCCTCTGCTTTTTTTGTTTCGTCGTCAAGACACATATAAGCATATGATCTTGTGCAAATATCGTTATTCCGATGATAAGTAACCTACGTCGAATCGTGAATCGTTCTCTGCATATTTGAAGAGGATTAGAGAAAATATCAGTATTTTTGACGTGTATTGCAATCTGTATAGAGTGTTACCGATACTTACACATTCATTTGAGCACAACGATTTCTATTCATATTAAAGAAGACAATTCTAGTTATATTTTATGTGTCTTTGAACTTGCAAAGCATGTCCCTCTATAATCGGTATTGAACGCAGAATATAAATTGACTTCATGCTGAACAGTATGCACCTATGAATTATACACACTTGTATTTTATTTATCTTTAGAACGTCATCGATGCCTGTATCGTCATTAAAGAAAGCTGTGGCGCATACATTCGATGCGATTCGGCAAAAAAAACCAATAATTTATCAGATTATGAACAATGCTATGATGAATCAAACTGGCAATGCTACAGTCCATATTGGTGCCAAGTCATTAATGGCACATGCAGTCGAGGAAGTCGAAGACATGGTTTCACTGGCCGATGCGCTTGCAATCGATTCTAGCACATTAACTGGACCATGGATTCAAGGGATGCAACTTGTAGGACAGTGTGCCAACGACAAGAAGATTCCGATCGTATTTGATCCGATTCTATTCGGAGCCACGACCTATAATACGGAAGCTGTTCTACAATTACTCAATTCTCTCGATATTGCCATTTTGATAGGTAATTCGAGCGAGCTTAAACACATTTACAATGCAACAGCTTATATGCAAGGAGCTGAGTCCGTTACTGACGTGCTCGATCCAAGTCAGATAGTACGTCAATTAGCTCAGAAAAGAAATGGAAAAACTATTGTAGCACTTAATGGTCAAAAGAACTATGTTTCTGATGGACATCGGGTAGTGATAATTAAGAATCATTGTGAACGTCTCAATCAACTTGTCGGTATGGGATGCGTAGTGAGTGCTCTGATGGCTTGCTTTGCTGGTGTCACTAACGATTATTTGGTCGCAGCTGTTGGCGGTTTTGCTGTTATGGGTGTGTGTGCAGAACAGGCTACATTCAATGCATCAGTTCATGGGACAGCGAGCTTTCAAGTGGCTTTATTCGATCAATTGAGTACTCTTACTGGTAGCGAATTGGAATCATTGATGCACATCGATTTAATTGATAATTAAAAACAGAAGCAGTTAGCCATCACAATATTTCAATACGAACCGAATCAATTATTCATTTCATTTTTACACTTAAACTCATCATTTTCTTTCCTATTTTTACAGTTGTTCTTTAGTATATCTTCGAAGGTGACGAAATCCGAGCTTTGTTTCGATCTTGAATGTTTCAAGCAAGACTAATTTTTAATGTATATTGATACACTTCAAAATCATCATATCTATTCTCGTGTTGATCTCTTCGCTTTTACATCAATTCAACAGATGAATCAAATTATGTTGATTTTGATCAGGGTATTCTAATATTGAATACTTGAAAAGCTTTATCATAGGTCTGAGACATATTTCTATATGTCATGTCTAGAAATTCGTAGATAAAATTCTATATGATGAAGATTTTAGGAGGTAATGTAGGTCTAGGTGTAAGTGTGGACATGGGTGTCAGCATATTTCGGAGCACATCCGCAACTGTATACGTACCAGAGACTGAAACAAATAAGAAAACCTTCATTCGGATTCGATTCAACTCGATTCGGCTTGCATTCACAGAAAAGATGTTATTGTTATCGCATCAATTAATATTCTTAACTTTTTAAAGAGAAAAAGTACAATAGAAAGTAGATTCTATTGAGTAAAATGACTCGTAAAAATGTGACACTAATGAGCCCAAGAACAAGAATAATAATTGATGTTGGAAAAATTGAAATTTTATGAACATAGTGCATCTTTCAAAATTGGACGAGCAAAAACTGATCGATACGAAAATTAGCCTAAAAACTTTACACTAAAAGGATGGGTGTGTGGGTAGGTATACGTTCGAATTCAATATCCTTCCATATCTATAATGTTGCTAATAGCTTTCGATTATTTTTTCATAAGACGATTGATTTTGAAAGGAAGGTATAATAAAATAAAACACATCATGCACCATTAAATATCGTTCGATAACACAAAATAATCGCATTTGTTTTCCAATTTCTCAATCAAGAGATTTACTCATGATTATTGTATACATAAACATGAGGATTTATTCGAATTCCTTGACAATTCGAACACTTAGTTATTTATATCAAAAAAGCGACTAGACATTACGAACTAAAAATGGATCTCACTGGAATAAATCTTGAACATTTAGGCCCCAGTACAACTTTTTTTTTGAAAGCTCAGATTTCAATTAATTATTTTCTGATTAAAAATCGATTGAAATAGTACAATTTTAAACGTTAAGTTAAAATGACGAAAAAAGTAACAACATAAAATTGAATACTTATCGTAGAGATTTTTCATATAGTTCCTAAATATATTTCTATTGCATTTTTTTTTCATAAATTTGCTAGCATCACTATAAATCGATAAAAAAGAAAGGTTATTCTGTGCTAATATCGGAAAAAGAAAAAGTTTTTTTTTTGGTGTCACATGTTTTTTCATTACGAGAGTTAGCAATGCATTGATGCATAAATTTCGTCATGAGTCAAAAGAAAAAGAAACAAGAAGCGCTTCTTTTACATTCACTTGACGTTTTTCTAACAAACATAACGCATAGCCTTCGTTGTGAATCAAAAAGAAAAGAAAAAAAGCAAAACAACGTGGTAAATCTGTTCTGATGGAGGTGACGGACGATGCAAGCCCTGACGTCATAGAAGTAAGCAAATTTTGCGAACTGTTTTGTTGATCAATTTCAATTATCTTAACTAACAGCTAGATACGGATAGATGTGTTGTCGAATGGCGCGACAAAAGTCTAAGTATGTATTCGTCCTAATTTCAAAATGTGTTTTTGAAAATGAGAGACTTCATGTCTTCAAAATTGCTAAAAAAAATCAATTAGTTGTGATATATAGAAACGATAAATCGCTAATTTTTTTCGATTGTTTCGACGATTTTTGTGATGAATCAGGATTCTACATTCTATTTTGATCTTCATCATATCGATCATTTTTGCAATTTTGTACGCAGAAACTTAATTTCTACGATCATTATCATATTTAGAAGTTCTTATTACTGCTATAAATTAGTAAATATTTTTAGTAAAAAACTATAGTGCTGACATTATTTTCCATGAACAAAATATGTAATAAGAATACTAATGTAGTATGCAATTCTTCATAGTTAAATGAGAATACACTCAAAAATATGGAAAAAAATGTTCATATATAGAAGTGAATTTTCTGAATTGAGTTTTTCTAAGAAAGTATTCTTCTCTATTCGTTTTTTTTGTTAATAATAAATTAAAAACCTAAAAAAGATAAAAGAAACAAAAATTCTAAACGCAAAACCGAACATATATACGATGATGACGGTAGAAGATGTTATCATATAGCAGAAAGTGAAGTTTTACAATTTTATATTAATTTCGAAAAATCGTTTCTCATATCATAATCACAATACAATCTGATTTAATTACTGCGTTCCTTCTTACGAAATTACGATTCATCACGATTTTACGCTGATTTTTTTCGAAATCATCAAAATCACGATGATTTTCATGACATGGGACTGTTTAGTGCCAGAACCATACGTTGGCGAAGAACGATCATCAAATGATGAAACCAGAGCCATGGAACAGTTTGCACGTGTCTTTTTCGAACGATATTTAACTCCGGGACCAGCACTCGATATGGGTTCACTTGATGAGGCTATCACTCATTCTTTGTTTGATCCAAGCACTGTAAGTTTTTTCATCATAGTTTATCCGTAGAAAAACTGAAATACTTTTGTGTTTTTTCTAGCCTTGTCCTTTAGTCCTCTATGTGCATCATGATCATAGCGTAGCCACAAACATCTTTTGTGAACATGTTTTATGTGCTGAAAAGATCACAACTTATCTTGCTGAAAATTTTATCGTTTGGGCATGGGATCGAACTAATGATATCAATTATCAACGGTGAGTAATAGAATTGTGCGCTATAAAATTGTGATTCACATGTAATATTGATTTTTTTTTCTACAAGAAGAGCAACTTCGAAGTCGTTTCTGTTATCTGTCAAACTTAGAAAAACTGAGAAAAATATACCGAAATGAAACATAAATATATTGAATAGAAATTAAAATCATTGAATACAAGATATATTCGCGAAATTATAAAATCCATAGGACCAAAAGCAATTACAACGACATAGAATGTTGACTTCTTATCTAGACTTCTGAGAATATGAAATTTGATTTACACATTTGCATTAGAAACATTCGTTCCATGCAGAACTCGGTGGTAACTAACTTTGCTTGGTATGTCAAGAAGTCAGGAAAAGAAAAATTCAGAACGAGAAAATCGAAAAAAATCTCGAAGGAATAAAACATCTTGAGAATTCTCATAACGAAGGAGGTAAAAGAACATGATCACTCGCAGTCTATCTTTCCTTTTTTCGTAGAATCCGTCGTACACCATTCATTTCCTTTCTGTTCTCCATATAATACAATTACACCATGGGTCCTTTCTCTTAGTTTCATTTTTCATCATTCGTGTGTTGGATCTTGTTCTGACGACACGCAATAACTTCTTCTTTCTATTATAACTACCGCTCACCTGACACTCTCGTTCGTGAACAGCAACAAGGACAAATCTTTTCTCGTCATTAACGACTCTGTCATCTATCGGAGTCGCAAGACCATGGATGCGGCTACTTCTGAGGAGTACCAATCCAAAGTCTACCACATCGCCCTTCACACAAATACAAAGACGAACGAATTGACCAAGTAGAAGAATGATTGCTGTCATCGTTCAATGTCAGAGGAGATCGAGATTCGTCAGTTTATGAGCAAAGTCAACAGTCATCGGCCAGATCTTCGATCAGGAAGCAGCCAAGACCAATCCATTGAAAATGGCCCTTGCCATGGTATCAATGGCGAAGAAAGCTCGTGAATAAAGAAAACTTTCATATTCTGACACTCTCACTTGTTCTATGTGCTGCACCTTCTGTGAAGAATAAATTTTTCTGATTTATCCTTTTCATACCTTTTTTCCGAATTTCTGACAATATCAACTTTAATATCATAGGAATTAACAAATAGAACAAACTCTCTTAGTCCATACTACTATGTCACGAAAACAATGGTTTCAAAATTGTAATTCTGTGTATTAAACAAGACGATCGTGTGGAATTATGAAGAGTTCAACTACAAGCGAACCTATTTTCCTTATAAGCGAGAACGAGAAGACAGAATTTCAACGAAAAACTTGTTGACGATCAAGAAGTTTTCGAAAAGTACGGATATTTTGTTCTTGATTATCATTAAAAATCAAGTGCAATATATGCTAGAAAATGGTTGAGAAAACGTCATAATAAATAATGGATAAGGTAGAGAATGCCAAAAGCTCTTCTGATGTAATATTCCATTGAGTAAGAGTTATATTAAAGAAGTATATATACCGTTTTATTGTTTTGTTTCGTACTATATTTCGATTGCTACGTGAGCGAGACGAAATTGTGAGGAAATTGTATTTAAAACACCTTTTCAGGCTTTTTTTCTGTCAGAAAAATTCAAAGACAAAATGAACTTTATTCAGGCTCTTGGCTATGCTACGCTCGCATGTGGGCGATAGTGTAGCGGGATTAGTGGCTTCATCACCTATCGATCTGCATCCGCTACTCTTATGTCTCGTGTTTCAAAACGGTCAAATAGAAGTCGCAAATACTATTGAAGGTAACATGTCTGTCGATACGGCATTGAAGCTTCTCATAAATGCACGGGAAGTGTTTGATCGACGAAAGGAAGAAGCTGATCCAACTAATTTGCAATTAACTAGTGTTTCTGGCGAAGGTTGGACCATGTCAGAAAGTCTCTTGATACCTATTACTAAGAGTTCTAAAGACTTTCGACAAATAGCTAGTGAGTTTATACAGGATAACCGGCGTATTGTTAGTATCGATAGAGTCGAAAATCCAATGTGGCTTTCTCAATATCTCAATAACAAGGAAACTATTGACGCTCGGCTCGACGGTAGTGAAAGCGAACGAATTTTTGTGTTCACTTGTCCACCATCAACAGCTCGACAGATCCTTCGAAAAGGATTTAGTGATCAACTGAAAAGTATTCATGGTAAAATCTTCAAATTCTTTAAAAAGAATTTACTTCATTTACTCGATTCAGGTCGACAATATGGCTATGGATTTTATTTTCCATCTTTCTGTGGGTTTGATTCAACGCAAGATCGTGAATACGCAATGCTTGTGTGCCGTGTTCTGGTCGGTCGAAGTTGTCTTGGTCATTGGACAATGGAAACATGCCCTTCGGGTTACGACTCAACAACAAACGAATCAGGCACTTATGTCGTCTATTCAAATCGGCATATCTTGCCGAAATATCTAATCATCTTTACATAAATTCATCTTTTGATACTTTCAAGATCACTAGAATTTTACTTTAAGTTCTTGTCCTTACTAAACTTTGTCTCCTTTCGAAGCTAATTGAAAATAGAGGATCATAACGATTTTTGTGGTTTTTGGTTATTGAATACATCATAAAAATCCAATGTTATTAGAAAAATGTATGTTTCATTTCGAAAAAAACTCAAGATCAATCAGTAGCAAGAAATGCAGGATGTTCCAAGAGTTCGTCGAGAAGAAAAAGATGAATAGGATGTAATCGAATCCTCACTCACACTTCATACCTTTACGAGATGCCATTTCTTAGGATAATCAATATTATCAACAGAGAATACGGATAGATTTGGATGTTGTTAAACATGTTTTTAACTATTGAATTGAATCGGAGAATTGTGTTGCAAGACTAGCAAACATTTGACCGATAGAAAACGTTCAGAGTACATTAAAAGAAAAACTACGAGAGCAAGAATTCAATAATATTGAATCCCTGTAAAACGACACTAAGAAGGAATGAAAAAAATCTAGTGTTACATTGTGTGAACGAGTGATTGATAAAATACCAGCACGATTACAACTAGTAATCGGTTAGGATGGTAATCCAATACATGGCCATTGATAACTTGCTGTGTGTTTTATCATTTCGGAAAGTTGTTTCTATTTAAAAATAATAACTAAGAAGATTGAGAAAATTGATAAAATAGTAGATAACAGTTTTGCATTCATAATCAAAGCTATAGACTTAAAACTTGAGACTTATTTAGCACTCAATAAATATAATAATTTGTCAAAGTTACAAAGAATTTTTTTTTGAATACAAGAATGATGAATTTTACAATCCTTTCAGAACTTTTGGAACATGCTTGTTAGGGCAAAGGATAATGATAACATTTCAATCATTAACATTTTTTAAATGCACCCGAATAGGTCTATGTTTTATGTCAAGTAGTATCTACAATTAGCTCAAAGGATCAATCAAAGTTGTTCGATATAGTCGTTCGTATTAGGATCTTCTTTTGGTCATTGTTCGTATATCTATCTCGAAAGTTGAGTATTTTGATAAATGAAACAGACTACATTGAATTATATCAACTGTATTGTATAATTTATTCTTTCGTATCACCCGAACTTCTTAATTGGAGAATTACGAAGTGCCTGGAAGAATGATAAAGTGGTTTGAAAACTGAAGGTAATCTCTAATAGAAGCAGTTATGAGAATTGAGACTATTGTACGAATGTAAAAAAATCTTTCGAGCATGGCGAAAATTTTTCTCAGTGTGAACATATCTTCTAATCTATTCCGCTTTACCTGAACAAAGTGCTACATACGTGTTTGGAATGGAATTCTCGCTCGTTTTTGACAAAGGAGCGAAACGTATCATGATGATTAACTCATTGAGACAATTGTTTTTTTTTTTGCTTCAAAAATCAAAAGATATCAAAATCTAAATGAATCTCTTTTATTGAAATCACCCAATAGACTTATTCTACTTTTGACATAGTCCATTGAAGTTATGTGAGCTTTCATTTTCTTATTTAAAAAGCATACAAAACAGTATAGCAAGGAAAAAGAGTGAACTTTGCATTTCAGACTGAATGCCACTACTTTCATCAGCTTGTTTCACTTGAAAGACGATGTCGTGTGTTGATGTTAAATTGTACGTTGAATCCTTCGCTCGAATTCGAACATAGTCTTCACCTTCAATAGCTGTCCACTGAAATACTTTTGTTTGTGTGTTAAATGTAGCATCACGAGGCAAATGATCAGCGGACAGAACGATAACGCTCATGGAATAATTACTTGTAGCGTCTATTATCAGATGAATTTGTTCACCATCTTTCGATTTCATGGAAACAGGAAGTTCAACATTAAAGAGAGGTGGATTTCGTAGGTCAGCTTTGATAGCTAAAATTTCATCACCAGCATCAAAAGATGTTTGTGCAAATGTTTCATCTCTTGTTATTGACATATCATAGTAACATGTTCGTTGAGCAGTATTCCATGATGATGGTGAAGAATTCGCATCAATTTTGCATGTGCGTCGAAAAGATGCATCTTCTGCTGCTGTATTGATAGGTTCGGTGAAAGATGGAACAAATAATCTATTCTGATTTTCGAAAAATTCGGCTGATTGACCTGACTCATAGTAAAATAAAGAGGTATCAGGATCAATAGCCCAAGTAACACCGAATTGTCGGTGAATTTGTTCGAGCAAAGCATTAGAATTCACTACTATTCCATTCTGAGCTCGTAGATCATTATTAGGTTCATTATCATAGATACCCAACAGACCATATGTTCGTTCACGAAATGTATCAGCTACAGAAGCCGCTACATTGAGTACGAGTGCTACCGATGGTGATGTCGTTTCAACTAGTTTTATTTGAACAGTCACACCTATTGTCCACGACAATGTGAGGATAGTACTATCAATTGGATTTCGTTCGATGGTCATTTCGGGAAAAAATAGCATATGAATATTGTCTTCGAACTCGAGAAGCTCATTACCACGACGCATAATAAGATTTTCACGACGAGAAACAGTTATACTTATTGGTTGACTTTCAGGATCTGATGATCGAGCTGCAAAACCTCTTGTAACAGTAACATCGTTTGATTCAAGTGGCATAGTACGAATCTGTGACATAAATACATGAGCTCGATTCGAAGATTGAAATGCTCCGGGTGGCAATTGATCATTACTAATCGCCAAATAGGTATACTCTCCATAGCCGTTAAATGTATAAGATGTTCCATCTAGTGTAATAAAATGAGGATCACCCCATGTTCCACCACTTTGACCCATTGTATTACTGCCTCGTCGTGGTGGTCGATAATACATGTATATATTACACATTTCAACATCGGTACTTATCATACAACATTGTAGATACGGTAATGTATCTTCAAAAAAATGTTGTACTGGTAATACGAAAGATCGATATCGATCATCCGTGCCTGCTCCAGTACCGCGCGTAATTAATTGTCCTTCAAAATCATAACAACATTCAGCTCCAGCACCATGAATATTTGAACTTTTCGATACATAACATTCAACAGCCGAGTTTTCATTATGTCCAGAACGAGCTTGATGAAGCCAACAATTGTTTGAATTTGGATTACTTCGATAACATTGACTGTCAGATTCATAACAACAGCGACCAGCTGCAATGGCTTGTGTTCGTGTCATTGGGCAAGGGAGAATACCACCATTCCAGGCAGATGGTTCAGGCTGTTGACGAGACCATTCGACGCAGGATTCAGATGCAAATGACGTAGGACTACGTACAGTCAACAGGCCTGTATTCAATCCAGCATATATTTTAGCTTCAAAACGAGCTACAACACGGATGAAACATGTTGTAACATTGGCAATACTTTCTGGCAAAAGAAGGCGAAATGAAGTAACATTGAAAGCCAAGTCTCGAGCGAGTATCATTGGTAAATTCTTCTGTTGTAATTGAGAACGATTGCTAAGGCTTACTTCGACTAGTTCTATTTCGATTGTAGTCCCATTGGGAAACGTATTTCGTGACAATTCAGAAAAACGCCACGTAAGATCGATATATTGTAAAACATTGAGTAGATTATCTTGGTTGCCTGTGTCAATTATGACATCGTCCGAACCAAATTGCAATGGCGCATATGTAAAAACACTAACTGGCATGTATGAAACACCGTTGTCAATCGATAAACTCACTGGTATTGGTCCATGTACGGGAGCAAGGGGTGTCAAACATATGGCGCGAAATGTATCAATTACAATACCCTCGACGGTTTCTGATGATGAACCAAACCGACATCTGAGTGTGGTCAAATTGCTGAAGCATGGTCCTTGAATATTCAGTGCCGTAGACCCTAGTTGTGAGCTGATGCGCGGGCGCAGAGTAACAACAGATACATTAATGCTACAGCCACCAGCATCAATCTCGTCTGTGTCTACACGGAAAACAAATAGACCAGGTACATTAACATTGCTTTCATTCACCAGGCGCACTATGTCCTTGGTACGCGAATACGGAAGCATTTCGAAAGCAATACCATCACCGGCATTGAAACCTGCTTGAGCGTATGGTGCAGTGGTATATGCAGGTCCGGCCCATTGTAAATCATGATAAAGGAGAAAAACAAAACTTCGATCACTATCAGTAGCTAATACAATTTGAAATGTATTTAATCGATCTGTTTGACGATCGTAAGCTCCTACACGATACCAAGTGCCTGTGATGACCATTGTTGGTTCGAACAAACGTTGTTGAGGAAAAAATCTTCGCACATAATCACCTGCTTTCGTGAACACTAATGATGCAATATTTGATGGAGATGTATCGCTGTAAATATGATAATAAACTCGATTACCCATGCCATTGACTACACCTCGCGTATCGATGTCTGACCAGAAGCCAGTTATAAAACGTTGATCATTCGCCAGTGGGAAGGGATCCGGTACAAATGTTGAAACTTCTGAGAGAAACGAAAAAAGACCATTATTGGCCACCCAAATTTGACGGTGATTATTGTCAAAATACGGAAGTATATGAGGCAGAGTAAAAGGCCCTACACTTTCATCGTCGTTTAGTGGTACAACCGAATCATCTACCTGAGATCCATATGGAAAAAACTCATCCAATGGTAAAGTGGTCGACAAACATACAAGAAATGTAGTAAAGAAGAATATTGATAGCATTCTTTTAAGACAAAATACCAATTGAAATAAAAAGCAATTTTCAAGCACGTCTTTATATAGAGTTTACTGATGAAGGAAAAAATTTATTCGATAACAACTTTATTACATATATACGCAGAACTGCTTATCTTCTTCCTTACAATGCATACAATGGCAATAAAACATATTTGCGTGTGTCAATATTATCAAGCAATATTTGATTCATAATTGTTATATGAGACAAATGTAGGCGTACATAAGTAGAAAGAGAAAGTCAAAAAGCTGCATTTCAAGTGGGTGAATATTTCTGTGAATGTGTATATGGGTATGGATTTGCGAGTGTACGGCGTGTTGCTGTGTGTGCAGAAGTTGGGGTGGCTTTGGGTGTGAATGTGCATAATGGTTTCCCACTCAGCCATCCACATAACACCAATCACAACCAAACCCACACCCATACTAACCAGCACGTACATGCATACCCACACTTTTTTTCCGTTAAACCGAAATGTTTTTTCAGGTTTCTGACTTTTTACGACTGCATGTTCACTAACTCAGATTGATTATGATCTTTCACGTAATTGAACAGAACAAGTTTTATCTGGACTAGATTTTGTTTTGTTTAAAGTCATATTCCTATCTTAGTGGATGCTGCAAAGATTTTTTTGATACAATCAATTATGCGATCGTACTCTTGTGGCGTAAGTGGAAACGCATCCGGCTTCTAACTGGAGGATAGATGGTTTCAGTTTATTCATCAATTATGATTGCTTAACAATTTTAAGCATCAATTGTCGAATAAAATTTAATCATGGAGTATCATTGTTGAATGGATTCTTCGAATCCAACCAGGAACTGTTCTCATTTTTTTAAAATGATTTCATTTAGACAAAATTATGAAATACTATCGCAAAAGGAAAAAGATAAGATAATCACATGATCACATCTGCGTCCTTTTTTTCCAACGCTGAATCATCTGAAGAAAGAAAAGAAGACGATAATGTGTATGATGTAATTATCTTTTTGAGTCGCTCTTTAAAGGAGTTATTTGAAAAAAAATTTTTTTTTTTGATAAATGTATATAAGAAAAACAGAAAAAAAATGAGAGGCTACAGCTCTTGAATGAGTTCGAACAATCCGTCTTTCGGTTAACAGCCGGATACGTTCCCACTTACGCCACAAGAGCACGACGGAATTATAACTTTCAGTTCTGAAAAACCTTATTAGTAATATGACCAAACTTTTACATTGAGAGTGACGATTAGAGTTTTTTATTTGGCACTTTATTGAATGGTATATGATCAAAACGAAAGAAGAATTTTGCTCGAATAGTTCATTATTTTCACCTTACCAGAGACAATAAGCACGAATGACTTACTCACAGACTGAAAGTCAATAGAAAATCCACAAATTCTCATATGATAAAAGACTCGGATGAAAGGAATGTTTACTTCTCCCTGAACAAGCATGATAGCATTTTCGAGGCTCATCTCAACTTCACTGTTGAACCCTACATATGAATTTATTTCTGGCAGTACAGAGTTCTCTAGAATGGTCGGCGCGCTCTTCATATTGACCACAGATAAATTAAGAAGTGCCAAGAGTAATATCGGTTGAGTTCTTTTCTCTGGCAATCGACACTCTTTTGCTGTTTCATCATTGCTGTGACGATGACGTGCATTGTTCTTGAGTTGCACTTATTGGATGAATCTTCCTGGACGGACTAAATGGGCAAAACATAATTAGCATCAGTGACATATAAGTGTACAAAAGTTTCATCTTCATGATTTTCAAAAGTCATTGAATTGTTTATTAAGATGTAAACTAAATCAAATACGAACTATGGAATTCGTGGAGTAATTCATTCTCTATAATCATACAAAAATTAAAAAAAAACACCTGAGGTTTTACTGAAATACTAAACTGAACAAAAAATGATTAGAAATAACGTAATCAATATATGCAAAAAAGTTTTTGGAGAGGTGATATGTTTCCAGTCTTATCCGACGGTATCCTTTGCATTCACATGAGTTGATCGAATCGAAGAAAAAAAGCTAAACTTGATCCATGTTCCAACTTCTATCATGCTAGTCGATGATCTTATTAAAGCTCATCAAAAAAAATGAAGAAAGGGCAAGCAAATAAATGGTCTATGAAAAATTGACTTGAATGTTTTTCTTATAATTCGAGCGCCATCTATGCTTGTCAGTTATTGGTACGAGGAAAGAAGGGTAAATATGATTGAAAAACCATGTGAATCATGGTAAACATCTAATTTCTTATTATCTGTGTAATAAAGGTGAATAACTGCGACACATACAACGAAAGCAATATTATTTATACTTGCATGGTTATCATGAACACAATATTATATATTGGAGAAGTGCAAAGCTACTTAAGTAATGTATGTTTTATTTACTTCATTGAGTCATTTCGATGCAAAAAAATAAAACAGAAGTGAAATCAACAATAAGTTTTCTGAAATCATGACTGGAATCAAAACATAATCATTCCATTTATCCAAAAAAAAAACAACGAGTACGGTCGAATAATAAATGAACTTCGCATTGTTCTTTTCAATATCTCTATCCATTCTTATCGTTTTTGACTGAACTTTTTTGCAAAAGACTCAGTATTAAATTTTATTTAGTCAAAAACAAATTCTTATTAAAAAGATAAAAACAAACTCTTACAAATAGGTCACTATTTAAATGCTTGTAAACACCATTTCTGATACAATCACATATGCTCTATTTAATCAGGCATAAGAAATATTATATTAATCTAAAAAGTATTGCAAAGAATATATTCATTAGAGAACATGTCAGAGTGTACCATATTTGGTCTTTTTACTTTAACCTAATTGAAAGGAAAAAAGCATTTATCTAGAACTGAGATAGAGTTTTATATTATGACTTAGTATTGTTTAAACTAATAAAAACATGTTATAAAAATCTCTTGACGGGATTACATGGTCTCTTTAAAAGCATGAAAGATTAAGACACAAAAAATATGTTTCTTTTTCCAAAATCTGAAAAAGCCAAGTTTGTTTTATACGCTTGAATTTTCTAAAGAAAAATTCTTAAATATATTTGTGAGACAAAGTTTAAAAAGTTCTGCAAAATGCCTATTTAGATTTGTCCATATCTTGACATGCGAACACATCAGTACAAATAAACTCTATTTTATGCATGAAAGTTCTTCGTAATATCTCTAGAACTGTTTTGCCATTATCTCTATAACCTACATGTTCATATGGCTTTGTAAAGTGTTGAATATTGACTCTTTTGAAAAAAACAATCAGTCAAAAATGTTAAAAATTGGCAGAACTATTTAGATAATATGGAGAAGCTCATTTATTGTTCCACGCTATAACATTTGATCTATGAATGGATGATCTACTCAAACATCTTTCGTGAATCATCCATGTAAACGACGATCAAATTTGTTCAATCGCTCTCAACCAGTTTAACTAACTGATATCTATTTTGTAGAAGCGACAATAAATAGAATCCTGTAGATATGAATGAGAAAAAAATATTTACTGAGCTCGAATATGAAATTATAGACTTTTCTCCGTACCCGAAACACTTTACTGGTTGCATCACCCTAGATGTTACTACAATAGAAATATTAAAAAAAACATACAGGAGAACAACTCTATGTATTTAGAGTTTAACTGCACCCGAAGCAAACGTATTATAAAAATTGAATATGTGTCTACAGTAGCTATTGGCATTATCCAAGTATCAAGTTTTAGTCTTTTATTTACTACTTAACGCTTATATGAGATATACTGATCTGGTTTTCCCCCTATTGTAGCCCATAGTGTTTATAAAACCCATTCAAATATCAAATGATTCTGTATAAATATCACTTCTGGACCTTATCTTTGCAGTCTTAGGAACATCATTAAAAAACAAGATCTTTGTCTACTGTTCTATAATACTCTTTCAATCTATACTCACAATTTAATTATTACAGGCTATAGATGTAAATGTTCTTAATGGGATATTTCGAAGGAGTACATTATGATTTTCACATTCAACTACATTTTAAATTTGGGTTTCCTCATGACAAAAATAAACAAATAGAAATACGTGTGAAAATATACCATAAAATTTTGACAAAATCAGATATCTACTCTAACCTGACATAAATTTTAGTTTGCTAGGTATAATTAAAGAGATAAAACGATATACTTTTGTTTTTATATAAGTTCATGTATTTTGCATGAACTTGTGATCGATTCAACGAAAAACATAATTATTGTGCAAGAAATCTTTAGTAAAACTTATTTCTTCAGCTGAAAATATGAACAAAGTAATGCATTAAGAAAGACATAATCATCTCGAAAGTATTTAATAAATTATAGAACATTATTAAACAAATATACTCGAGCCTGAAACTGAATCATCATCTAGAAATGTATCTTCATAAGTACATCTTTATTCTTATTCTTAAATTTATATTTGTTGATGTTTTTTTGTAGCTCTACTAGGTCAGCGTTTACGTTATGCACATCAACTTGTAAGAGGTAAGCTATCAACAACTGATTTCTTTTTTCTTTTTTCAGTTTAAGAATAATACTTTAAGACGAGAGAGGGGTCTAGATACAATTTGACCTATTTCAAGTACTTAAAATTCATATTTAGATAAACGTTGGCTTTATCCTCAATACCATGACAACGAACATACAA